GCGGTCCCAGACTGCCGCGGCCGGGCTGCCCGCGCTGCCCGCGGCTCCCACTGCCCCCGCACGCTCCCCCTGGGGCCGAGGGCGGCGGCGCCCGCCGCGTCCCGCCCGCAACTTTCCCTCCTCCCCCGTGGATGGCTTTCGTCGGAGACCTGCAGGGCAGCCGGGCTCTTGACACCTGTCCCCCATGGGCCGCCCCCGCGCCTAAGTTTGCCGGCGCCCGGCCCCAGTCCGCCGCCGCCGCAGGGCGGGCTTGAAGCCGCGGCGGGGCCCGGAGCCCATGGCCGGGAGCCCCGCCGCGCCGAGCTGTCCGTGCGCGCCGCCCCGTCCCGCCCGCCCGGGAGCCGCCGCGCCCGCCCGAGCGCCGCAGCGGGGGCGCTGAGGGAGGCAGCCCCCGGCTCTCCGACACCGGCTCGGCGCCAGCCGCCGGTGCCCGCCGGGTCGCTGGCGGCGGCGGGGGCGGCGGCGGGGCCGCGGGATCCGTCCGCGCTCGCTGCCCCCGTGTAGTTCTCGAGTCGTCTGTCCTCGGCGGCGGTCCGCGGGTGACATGCAGTCCCTCATCTCTCCGGTGACCAAGGCTATCCTGGTGGCTTTGTTCATCTTCGCCATCCTGCTGATCCTCTACGTGATTCTGTGGTACATCTGCCGCGATGTGGATTGCGACCATGGGATCTGAGCGGCGCCGCGGGGCCAGGGCTTAGGAGCCGGGATTCACCCCGCGGGGCCGGGAGCGGCAGCGGCAACGGGAGCCCCTCCGGGCGGCAGCCGCCGCCACCGCGGCCGAGCAGGGGAACAGAAGGGGAAGGAAAGAAACGAGGGGGAAAAAAAAGAAAAAAAAGAAAAGCGAGCGAAGGACCGAGCCGAAAGAGCCCGGAGGACAACTGCGATCAAGAAACCAACCTGAGCTTGACCTTCAGAGACCAGGGTGACCCGGTGAGTCTCCGCTCTCCGCGGCGCGGGGGATGCGCGGGTGCGGCGGGGCTGCCTCCCTCCCTCYCGCTCCGTTCCCCTCCCGCTCCGCTCCCCTCCCCTCGCCTCGCACACACACACAAACACGCACACACTCGCACACTGATGTGGCACGGGCGCCCCATACACACGCCGCGTACACACACACCAGTGGATGTGCGTGCCCGAGTGCCTGCTGCACGCAGGCATGCGTGTSCCTTGGGGACAAGCAGCACCCGTCCTGCTGGCCGGGATAAATTGTGCCTGCCCCCGTCCCCGTGTCCCCCGGCTTTAAATTTTTCGAGGTGACAAGGCGCAAAAGGCAGCGCGCCCGCGGGAGCGGTCGGGCGCGGGTGCGGGTGCCGGAGAGCGGCCGCCGCGCTGCCTTTGCGGCCCCACATTGGTATGCAGGCGGTGGCTGCGCCGCCAGGCAGACCTAAAAGGTGAGCCCAGGGGATGGGGGAAAGTCAATGCTTCATCAGTCCAGGGGCAAATCGGGAAGTTGCAGAAAATGAAGGAATAGATGTTAGGTATCCGGCCAGTGCCAGCAGGCAGACTTCGGGCAGGACATGTGAAGCAGGATGAGTTTCTCCTTTCCAGGGCCAGGTTGATGGAAGGAATTGGGAAGATGACAGAAAAATGTGCATGGCAAGTTCTGTATGATAGCGGTCCTTGTCTGGTCTCACCGGCACTGCATTTCCTATGTGTTACTCTCGAAACGGGTTAACGCTCGACGGTTTGTCACCGTGCTCGAGCTGGGCAATTTCAGAAAATATTGATTAAAAGTGCACAGCTGATGARCACGTACGAGCTGACCGTGTCGGGACACAAGAGGGGATGTATCCTGCCCAGCCGTTTTCCCACCTGAGAGAATTTGTTGGTGGCTATTTCTGCTCTTACTGTTTGTTTGTGTTGAATACCCAGAGCTGAAACAGAGAGACAGCAACACATTGTGTTTAAAGTGGAAAAAAACCTGCTGAAAGAAAAACAGTCCCAAACACTTGGGCTGTAACTGTTTCTGTCCTTGACAGATAAGCTGTCAGGAATCAGAGCAAACTCTGCCTGCTTGCGTTATCCCTGGCGGGATGTATTCGGGTGCCGCAGAGTGTGGGTGCGTGTAGACGGTGGGGAATAGGAGAAAAATCAAATTCATGTTTAAAGCGGGGGATCAGGGACCTAGCCAACTGTTAAGTGTAATCGTGTGCTTTGGGATGATTTGACATTGAGTATTGGTGACTGAGAGCTCACCTTTGCAACAGGGGTCTGTACGTGGAGGAAACTGTTTGGAAGTCGATTCTCTTGCCGTTTTGGTTTGTGCTTCTGTTCAGATTGTGTTTCGAAGGGTTTTTGACCGGACTAGTTGATGAAACATGACATTACCGTTAACACACGCTACTAATGTGATTATAACAGCAGTGACATCAATGTTTYCTTGCCCTGCAACTACAGTAGCAATGCATTTGTTTACTTCTCCCATGCACGCTCTGAAATGTCTGTTACTCAACAGCTCTGAACAGCRAGRGAAGARGGAGGAGGAGGGGGAAACTTACAGACATTTAAAAATGGCTATAGCTCTGTTTCCCTTATGCATATAATTATGTAGAAATAAAATAACCTCCAAGTACTCTTCATCTTTTTTTTTCTCTCCCCAATCAGTACACTTGTTTTTACCTAAGTGGCAAAAGCCTCTTCACACTTTGACATGTCAGGTTGTGTCACATGTTCCCTTCCGAATWAACAGCAGTGCACACCTTCTGCCCCTCTCCCAGCTGGCAGGAGCTAGCGGCTGAGACAGTAATAGAGGCTTTGCCATTTAGTGCTAATTATTTCACAGTAAACCAAACTGTTATTTATAGAACTGGATGAAATGTGGCAAATTAATATGGTTTGCAGAAAACTTTAAATATCAAGAGATATGTGTGCGGGTGATTAAATATCTGAAGTGTTGATATGACTGAACATATTTTGTACTACTATCATAACTGACGTTAATCGGCTTAATAATTGCAGAAACCATGAAACAGTCCATTCAGTTATTGTCTGATCATTAGTGTTTCCAGCTGGCTCATTATTATTTTAAACATATTGTTTTTAGGAGACAGGATGGAGAATTTAATAACTGYTTTTATTCTAAATGAGGTGAATATATATGTGTTTAAATATTAATATACATATAAGATTTGTATACACTCAAATGGGTATTTTCTAGCCTGACAGAACTGAAAAATAAGCAGAGCAATGATTATCAGTATTGAATTTGGTTTGTAGTTGTAGTCACAGTTGTGTTGGCTTTGGTTTGATACTGCTTGTGTTCATTATCGTGTATTAATAAATGCAAAACCCTAAAGATCTGAAACCCACCTTTTCCTATTGCCGCGGTGCCTGATAGAAGAGAATGATATCCTGGCCTTGCTCAGCTCTGTGTGGAATTTTGCAGTTGGTTTTGACGGAGTCAGAAATATATTGGCAGATTAGCTTGTGAATTTGTGACAGCATGATGTTACTAAAGTTGAGAGAGGTACTAAAGCAGTAAAAAGGGTAAAACATGTTACAGTGGAATACCTAGAGACCTTATTTTTATAATTCTTTTTCTTGTTTGCTCAGAAATTTGGTGATGATTTTATTTCTATTTGGGTTTGTGCTCGTGCCCCAAGTCAACAATTTTCACCAGCTTGCTCTCTTTTAATGTGTGGTAGTGTTTCAAAGGTGAACWCTGAAATATCACCTGCAACTGAGATGCAGTGCATCAGGTAGATATAGATCACCTGTAAGCATTTTTTGCAATAAGACAGGTTGTAACATCGTGAGTAGTGCTATTGTTTAAGGCAAAGACAACTTGTTATCGTGTTCCTACTTGAGGCAAGAGGAATTTTTACCATATCGCAAAAATTAGTAATTTCATGGTCTGAAAGTATGTTTTTAGCCCAAAACCTATTTAATAGGCTGTTCAAAATGTGCTAAATGATATTTCAAATCTTTGCCTTTTTTTTTTGTGTGAGAAAGACTGTGAAGTTACCACTGCTTCATCAGCAGAAATGTAATGAATTTTATGGATTAATTCCTACTGCAAGGTAGCATGCTGTAGCACGATCCAAGGAATCTTGTCACATCAGACTTAAACATGAAGTATGTTTCTGGATAAGTCGTTCTTTACTCAATTCCTAGTTGGGCAAATTCCCTGAAGATTGATTAAATATTTTCTGTAAGTGGCATGTAAGAGTAACTGGGCAATGAACATCACAGATTTGCTTATTTTCTCCCTTAGAAAATGGATTAATAAGAATGAGTGTCTTCATGGTATGCCCTCTGTGCCTCTTATACCATTTCCCTAAAAAAGGCTTAAAATGARCATTGAGGATGATTCTAGTGTAGAAGGGTCTCTGCAGAGATGAAAGGCTAGCTGAGATGCAAGGATGGCCAGGTCTGCATCCTCGAGACGTCCTTGTGTCATTCGAGTGCTAGGCTGTACTTTTTCCCTCCAGGTGAGTGTAAGTAGAGAGCCTTCAGGCTKCTGAAAGATCTGCCCTACACAGCTCCAGCCCCATTTGTTGGAGGGCTCAGTCTAGGATTGATTTTCTACTCTCTCTTCTATGCAAGGTGATGATTTTCTAGTTGTTCCTCGCAGCCTTAAAATCTGTGAGCCTCAGATTATTRGTGACAAGTACTTGGCCCAATTTGTATGTTTATAAACAGCTCAGAGGTGGAATTGTTGGCATTAATTGCACAATGATGCTACGAGTCTAACATTTGAAACTGGCAGGGCACTTTAAATGACGAACTTGGGGGCAATATTAAGGAATACAGCATCACTGTAACAAGTGTGTTAAACCTGCAGCATGAGCAGGCCATATCTTGCTTCTGCTTCACTAGAATAACAGTCTTGCATTGCTAATGTTAATACAAGCTCTGGTTAATGCAAACTAAAGGAGTTACGAAAAACAGACATATTTGCCCTTCACCTAAAGATCCGGCTCTGCTCTGGGTACGGATGTACCATTAGATGCTTGCCTGGCTGCTCTCTCCCTGCTGCACGGCACTGCAGCGGGGCTGCAATTGGGCATTCAAACATACGGGAAAGTTCCACCTCTGTTTCTCAATGGATGACTTTTTCCCCAGTTTTTCTKTGATGCATGAGTGTTTTCTCCTTTTCCTTCCAAGCATTAATCCTCTGAACTGTGACTTAGTGCGTAATGCGGTTTGTAGACAAACTGCTCGGATTGATTTTCCTGGAGTGGGCTGACCAAATGATGAGTGTATTGGAAAGCAGCACACRCTTGCTTATTTGTTGTTTTACATTAAGCTAGGTTTTTAAAATAACATATCCTAAAATCCTTTAAAATAGCCTTTTTTTATTTCACACGTTAGTTTTAAAATGCATTGCTTGTATGGTTCATGTAGTTGCACAGCAGCATCTGCTCGTGTTAGAGGCATTCTGATAACTTTTTAAAYTTTACCCAAGGGAGAAAAATTGAGCTTCAGCTTGGAGGGGTTCATAACGCTGTCTGCTATTGAGAATAACATTCCTATTTTGAATGATTTGATGTGTTACGTTGGAATAGTAAAGATACTTGCTGATGTTTTCACAACTTATTGAATCATATATAAAGAACACCAATAAGGTGACATTCAGAGTTTTGTTGTAGGGAATAGTTTTAATGTGGATTATGGTTGTGAAAAAGATGTGGAAAAAAATTGCTTGTGACTGATAAAGAAAGACAAAGGAGTGGGAAAAGAAAGAATATTGTATCAAGATAGAAGAGAGACTCCAGAGTGTTCAAATTCTAAAAAGTGCAGCTAATGCAGAATAGAATGAGAWGCTCCGAGCACAGAAATTGCCACTTTCCTGTACAGAAACTGTATATACATGTAAGTATACATGCATACATATGTGTGTGTATATGTATGACATTTGTACAGTCTATGTGGTTGAATTAGAAATTTGCAATTCTAGAGCAAGCTGAGAATCTTCACATGGATGATTTTTT